TAACAAGAAATGTAGATTTTGTTTTTGACAACAAGGTCAGTCAAATCCCCTCAGGATTTATCCTGAGATCCTGTACCTCAGATTGTAGAACCTTTGTCAGTGTCAGCCATGTGGATGAGTCATGGCCATTGCCTGACCAATGTGCTCTCTGTGAAACCCTGTGAGAATGTTTTCTCTCCATGTGACTCTCCTTAGGTACACTCTACATCATCAATCACTTTCCTCTTTGGCCCCATAATGTCCTTGATCAGAAAATTTGGGACACTACCGAGTTACATGACATGCCAGTACAAGTTCTCATATGTCCTGAGTCTTAATTGACCTTGGAACCCCCAGTATATTTTAAATAATTTTGAGAATATCATTACTGAACAAGCCAGATCACTTGAAAACCAAATGTATTTAAGAATTTCCAGTTAAAGGTTCTCAGTCTCACATTATAAAAAAGATTAGCGATTTCCCTCTTACTCTAGTCAGATGTGTTAAAGAAGTGTTGAAAAGGGAAAATCTATCATTTATCATTTTTTATAACTTTTCAGTTTGCAGAATTTCAGCCTGGGGTGCTGGCACACATCTGTAATTTCAGCACTCAGGAGGGTGGGGCAGGAAGATCTCCATGAGTCTGAAGCCAGCCTGGGCTAGTCACTCAAAGCTGGCTTGAATGACAAAGTGAGACTCTGTCTTAAAAAGAAAGGTAGGCAGGCAGGCAGGCAGGCAGACAGAATTTCAGGCACAAACACAATTGAGCAAGTAGGGCCCCGTCTCTCAGCAGGGACCCAGGCACCTCTGTTCATAGCAACTTCCCACTGCCCCTCACTGATGACTTTGCTACCAATTTCAGATATCATATAATTTCATCAGTATATGTTTCATTAGCTGTCTCTAATATATATCTTAAAGGGATAATCCCTATCATCAAATGTCCAATATTCAGGTTTCTAAATGCCTTTTTTTAACTGCCTGAATTAAGAAGCAAATAAAAGCCACACATTACAAATGGCCG